GGTTCATCCTTTTTTTATTGTTGCTTGGTATTGTGCTGCGTATCATCGTCTGGTTCCAGAATCGTAACCTTGTGATCGATGAAGCCAATGTGGCCCGTAATATTTTTGAATGCAATTTCCAGCAACTGACACAGCCCTTAAAGTATGAGCAATACGCTCCGCCCCTATTCCTGTGGATGGAGAAAACAGTATCGTTAGTCTTTGGATTCAGTGAACAGTCTATGCGCCTCTATCCACTGCTTTGCGGGATAGGCGCACTATTTGCTTTGTATAAAATAACCCGGCAATTGATGCCCGACAGCGGTGCCTGGCTCACCATCGCGGTCTTCTCAATGGGTGCTATCTATGTAGAATACTCGGCAACGCTGAAGCAGTATATGCCGGATGCATTTATCGGACTCGTGCTGATCTGGCTGGCGCTGACAACCGATTATAAGCAAGTAAGCAAGGGACGTTTTGCTCTTACCTGGCTGATCGCCGGTTCCCTCGCTATCTGGTCGTCCATGCCTTCTGTATTTATCCTCGCAGGCATAGGTGCGTATTACGCATTGCTGCTGTTTAAAGACCGTAAGGCTGGCTGGCTGCTGCCGTCCCTGCTGGTTGTTGCGGTATGGCTGCTGCAATTTATGGTTTACTACTTCGCCATCCTGAAGCCGCAGGCAGAATCCGCCTACCTTCAGAATTTCCATAAAGATTTTTTCCTCCATGCGCTTCCGGCTTCCAAAGAAGAATGGGCACATAACGGTGAGCGCCTGTACGACCTCATCGGCAATATGGGCGGCTGGACCACCATTGCCATGGTCTCCTATATCCTGTTCCTGCTTACCGGTTTAGTGCAGTTGGCAAGACATAATAAGCCACGATTCCTGTTGCTTGCCGTGCCTATTGCAGGCGTGCTGTTTGCCGCTGCTCTTCATAAGTTCTCATTGATAGAACGCGTGGTTATGTTTATGTACCCGCTGATGTTATTGCTGGTGGGCTATGGCTTTTCCCAGCTATGGAAACTGCGTTATGCTGCGGTAAGGTTCGTGATCTTCGCAGCCGCCATGATCAGCGTCATTGGCTATGCCCGGTTCCCGCTTTATTTTAATCATAACCGCCTGGCTTATGAGCTGACGGAAGGGCTCGACCACCTCCGGCAGCCAGGTGCGC